TGATGTAGTGTCTAATGAATGATCTGTAGTGTGTATATTATTGACTAATGTGTGTATGATTTGAAACCATTGTTTGATTTTGAGTACAGGTGAAATGGTTTTGAAGCGATTGCTTGATTTTGCCAGAAGAGTCAGGGGTTCTGTGAATTTAGTTTGAAGGTTTGGATTTGTGTTTAAGGTTTTGAGAAAATGAGTGACGGTTTCAAGAAATGTGTTTTAGCAATTCATGAAACAATGTTATTATCTAAAAACAATTGTACTGTTGCTTGTAATAGTGAGTAAAATCATGTTGCATCTAAGGTTTTTCTTAAATAGGCCTTTTGAGATTAAAATATTCTCATATTTTCATACATGTTGTTTTAGATCATAAAAGCCAAAGGCTGTTTTATTTGAATAAAATCATCTCTGATTTGTAAATAACATGCAGCAGCCATCTTGTATTTCTTTAATAAAAAAGGTGGTCAGACTTGCGCATACAGTACACTTGCGCGCGCCCCTTTAAATAATGAAATAGCCTACTCGTCGGAATACAGCATTGTTTCATACACAATGTTTATAAACTGTGGTTGATATGTTTAGATAAAGTATCTGTGATTAACTGTACATCAGTAAATCACAACAATCCCGTGCAATGAACACTGTCATTGATTTTCGAAAAATGTGATGAAGTACTGATCTATAGGCCTAGCCTATAAATTCTATATTAGGCCTGTAGATCAGTGGATAAAGGCCTGTCACGTCACGTACAAAATATGTCATTTTTTTCAATTATTGGATAGCATTATATTGTAGACTGATTGCAGATTAATCATAATAAACATGTTGCTACAATAAAAACAATAACATTGAAATACATTTAAAACAGTGTATACCTCCTGCAGTAACTTAAGCAGCATGCAGATCCTCGTTTATCTCAGGACTGTGGCATACTGTAACCATATAATCTTCTACAATGGGAAAAATATATTGTTTTTATGACATATGTCGTTATTACGAAACAAATATGTAGTTTAAAGACATTACAACGAGATGTTAGGACATGAGTGGAAAAAATTATTTGTGGCAGCTATGCGCCCATCACTGTAATAATCCATATAGCAAAACATGGCAGACTCAAGTCCTAAAAAGGGAGTACACGCTTTGGACGTGCAATTCTGAGAACACTAAGGCAAGAGCACGTTCTTTTCACATGTTTGGACACTTCAAACAGATGTTTGCACTCACAATCTCACAATCTGAAAAGTTTCTTTTTTTTTTTTGCTCTGCGTTTGTGTTCGTCCATTATTTTACCCAACAAATCTTTGAAAATTACTGGTCATTTAAATATGCAGTGAGCTCATAAATATTCAAAAAAGGCCGTCTTCAGCTCCATATATGGTTATTTTGGGGAGGAGACTGAGGCAGACTGAAACCAGGTGCGCACAATATTTAGATAATTGTGATGTATAAAGCCAGCCTTGCGCAGTTTCTGGCATACGTATGGTTTTATAAATCTGAAAACTTTTGTGCATACGCAAAATCTAGCTTTTGTACGTACGCACACTTTTAGTTTTATACATGAGGCCCCTGAACACACAATACAGTTATATGGGACAATCTCAGCTTCTAGCATTTACAGTAGTGCACATACAAGAATGGTTCACTTTCTGTCCTGTAAGATGATGTTACTACCACCATATAACCAATTCCTAAATCTGAGATTTTTTTTCTCCCTTGCAACAGAAAACGTAAAACTGAAAACCAGCAAGAAAAATTTGACAGATCTGTTGCACACATTTTGAATAACATGTGAAACACGTTATGCTTATTTTTTATTAAAAATGTTTTTCAAATGTAGATAAACGGAATGTCAGACTTTTTTGCAACATAGTGTCTAAATGCTGCTTAATTTATGTAAAATGAATGTGTGCAATGTTTCACTGAATAGTTGAGAGCTCTGTATAAAGGTTTTCAGTTAAATGCTTTCAGTTTTTCCTTATTTTTATTCCTGGGAAAAAATGGTTTATAGTTTTGTGAAACCTATCTAATTGGAAAAAAAAATAAACTTAATCCAGCCCAAAGTGCTTTAATTTTATTGACTTGATTACCCGAGAGCTTTCACAAAATTAATAATGGATTTTTTGGAGCATGGAAATCACAATAATAATAATAATAATAATAATAATAATAAAAAAATAAAATAAAATAATAATAATCATAATAAATAAAAAAATTAAATAAATTAAAACTTAATTTTAAGTTTTGAAATAGGCATTTAAAGCTAAAGTAGATATCAATCATGCGTCATTGGATTCTGACTCAAAGCATTATAGTTATTGACCCCTGACACTTCACCATGACACTAAAATATTCCCAGCCAAAGAACACAGT